CAAGAAATGCATTTTCAGGTTCATTAAACATCCCATGTTTTTAAAATTGTCAAGCATTTTTTGGACTATATTTTTGTAGTCCGAATCCTTATTGTTTCCTAAAAACTTGAAAACCACTTCTCGAAAGCTTTTCCACGCAGCTTTTTCTTTTTTTGTCATTTTTCTTTCGAATTCATCATCTCGTAATAATGTTCTTATTTGAGGACCATCAAATACTCCTTCCCTAATTTTGGCATCAGAGAGTTTTGGAAACTTTAAAAATATGTAATTGAATGCATCACTGTCGTTAACTTTCATAGCTTTCACAAATTGCTTCATTAAACCGAGTTTTATGTGCAATGGCGGAAGTATTACTTGAGATGATGGAATCAAACTTTCACGTAAAACATTTTTAGAACCAGGATCCAAACTTTGTCTAAGCGGCCAATCTTTTTTAATATAATGGTTGTCACGATCACGACTATCCCATTCACACATGAAGCATGGATATTTAGTGAAGCCACTTTGTTGCCCTAATAAAATTGTGGTTATTTTTAAATCACCACACACTTGCCATTTATGCACATTATATTGTAATTTTATGAGAACTTTACTCAGGTTTTCATATTCTTCTTTCAATATAACAGAATGGGCTACAGGGATAGGTGCATAAACGTTACCATTATGTAACAAAACAGCTTTCAAACTTTTTGTCGACGAATCTATAAAAAGACGCCAGTCACTTGCTTCATAAGAAATATCGCCAATCTTATTGAGTAAACACTCAATATTATTGCAATAAACTAAATCATCCTCTCGAGAGAAAAATTTTCTAAATGATATGTCTCTATTACGATAGAAAGTTATGCTAGTTTTCGGAGCAAGACAGTTTTTCTCTTTGAGCCGAGATGCTAGAAGCTCTGAACTCTGTTTTGACAGCCCTAAGTCCCGCACTAAGTCATTTAATTCATTTTGATCAAAAGTTTCTTTGTTTCCATTTATATTATAATCTGATTCCTCGGCACTGTCAACTTCTGATGATTCACCTTCATATTCTTCGCTAGCTAAAGTATTAGTGCATCCTGACGCTTCATGGTCATTTTCGGCATCACCTACCTCAGTTGCAAATTTTGATTGATCCGAGTATCGAGAATGGTCAGAATCATGACTTTTATTTTTATCGCTCAAAATTGGGAAAGTTACTGATTGAACATTAGGATATTTTATAAGAGATTTACTTTTATTGTTATACCCCTTAACTACAGATAAGCAAAAGTAGCAATCTGTATGATGGTTTTGAGGCTTTCGCCAAATCATGGGAGAAGAAAAGCGTTTGGTTGTTTGTCTCCATTTTTTCATGTTGAGACCTAAGAGACAATAAGAACATATATTTTTCGGAGTCCAAGAGTTATTAAAACTACTTGTGGAAATACCGAAACACTCCTCATATTTTTTTCTAACAAGATCTGTAAAAGGCCTTGCATATTTTGCTACTATAAATTCTCCACAAACAACGCAAAATAGATTCGGACTGTTTTTACAAGAAGACATTTTTAATGAACTTCAAAAGAATCAGTTGAAATTAATCCTCGTCGCGGTCGTCTTATATGATTTGACCCAAATCTGTTGTGAGTTTATCCTGCCGAAAATGTTCGATT